ACTTTATATTTTTATAAAAAAAACTTTTAAAAAAATACTATAAATCTCTTTTAAAAAAGAATAAAATTTAGGGGGTGTTGTGCATTTTCATTGTTTAAAAAAAAATTATTTAAAAAATATTATAATAATGTAAAATAAATATACATAACAAAAAAAATAAAAGTAAAAAGACCGGATCGGTTTTTTACAGGTATGGGCTCGATCCGATATTTTTGGATAACACTAAATATCGGAGCCCATTTGATCCGATATTTAATATCGGCACAGCCCTAATTATATTTTAATTCTAAGATTAAGTTTCAAAATATTATGAAAGAATACTATTCTATATTAAAGTAAAATTCATCATTTTACATTGAAATGCATTTTTAAGTTTGAACTGCTGGACATTGAGGTTGAAATATTTGTGTTAAGATATAATTTACATGTACAAAGTGTAGACTTCCATTAATTTTCTTTATTGATTTAAAATATATTTCAAATTGGGACCAGAGAAGGGTTAAATCATTTGAAGAAGTGCTATAGACATTATATTCTTTAAATAAATTATAAGAATAATAATATCATTATTAACATTTACTTTGAATTTTGATTGAATATTAATTTCGACCGACTAAAATAAAAATGAAAGAAGTGGTTGATATGAATTAAAACTCGGCTTAAATTGTTGATATTAATCATTAAAAAATAAATAAAAATAATTTTATAATACAATAAAATATGTTTTGCTTTTTGTTGATATTTTTTAAGAAAAAATATTTTGCGTTACCGTTAATCAAAAAAATAAACGCGTTACCGTTACCTCTAGAAGAAGGTAACGAGACGTTACTTCACAGCAAATAAATAAAACTTTGGGTGTTCCTTTCTATTTTTACAAAAAAACTTTTAAAAACTATAAATCTATTTAAAAAAATAAATAAAATTGTGCATTTGATTGTTTAAAAAAATAATTATTTAGAAAATATTATTATTGTAAAATATATATAAATAAAATAACAAAAAAAGAAAAGTAAAAAGATCGGATCGGTTTTTACAGGTATCGGCCCGATCCGATATTTTTGGAAAACGCTAATTATGCCGATCAGATCCGATATTTAATATCAGCACATCCCTAGTTATTAGCAGAGTTACTTTTTTAAAGAAAAGGAACGCCAGTTGTTATTTGTTTCAAAAGAGTAATGTCGTAAACTAAGTTCGATTTTATGAAAAAAATGATGAATGACGTCCCTTTTATTTTTGACGAACTTTGAACGTGCTCCTTTTTTATGAAGAACGCGTTCGTTTTTTTACATTTGTTCAATTTTAGAGAATTTTATTCATTTGAAAATAAAAAATATTAATTCAAATTTTTTAAGAAAAAGGGTTATTTTATATCAACTGCCTTATCACATTTGAATTTTTTAGCCAGTCACTATTTTTGTCATATAGTATAGTTAATTTGAATATTATTTATAGATTATCATCATCTGATTCTAAAAGTCCAAATATAATATCACATCTTCAATAAACCAATTCTACCCTTATCAATAAAATGTGTCCAAAATGTATGTTTCAAAATCTTTAAGTTCTAATTTAAAGAAATACTTGACAGTAATATATTATTTTATATAATATAACTATAAGTATCCTGTTAATACTTTATTGTATTTCATTATTAAATTATGATGATTATTGTAGTGATTAGCTACCAAACATGGGGATTGACAGACAAGAATTGGTTTTGGAGATAAAGGAAAGTCGAGAATGATTGCCTGGGATTATAATGGGAATGAGGATGTTTATGATTGTGTTATTATGTTGTTATCGGATTAATATTTTTATAATTTGTATAAATGGTTTATTTGATTGCAATAAAGAATTATATGAAGTCCAAGTTATATATATATATGCTACATATTGGCGACATTATGGGATTTAGTGTTGTTAAACGGCTAGATTTGAGCCAATTTTTAAAAAGGGCTAACTCAACATTATCGCCAGGAAAATATTGCCTATGCGTCGAGATTTCGCTAATAGATGTTCAATCTTATGTGCCATCTATGAGCAAAATCTCTAGGCTTGAATAATATTTCTCTGGATAAAATATCAAGTTAGCTGTTTTTAAAAATCGGCTCAAATTAAGCCTAACATAACTAATGGGATAAACCTGATCAAATAAAATATATTAGTGAATGTTATTGAAGTACGAGCTATTTTTGATATATGATATTATAATATTGGATATTACATGAAATTAAATTTGGGATGAAGATATAATTGTGAATCAGAATTTAGACAATTATTAAATTATGGAATATTGTAATGAATGAATTATGAATATGTAATGGTTCTGAATCTGATATTGATTGAATTATTATAATTGCTAACAAAGAAAAATTTGAAGAATGAATTGGTAAAAGGAAGAAAATAATAAATAGTTAATTGGTACAAATGAAGAATGAATAGAATAATTATTGGATTTTGGGTAATGATTTGGGATTTTATTAATTATGGAAGATATTCATCAAAAATAAAGGGCCATCTGGCATGAACAAAGTGGTAAATGGATTCAAATATGATTTTGAGATTATGGATAATTAATTTGGGGATGTGATGATATGAAATTAATGTTGGGAAATTGATGAAAGTAAAAATGGAACATTATGGGAAATAATATTGTGAAAACTTGAAAACTAATGATATAGTGACATTTACATAGTAATTTGGTTTAAGGATCTATGGTAATTTAGACATCAATAAAAAGGTTACTAATAGGAGAACCTGGTTAATTTAGACATTGGGTTAAAAGAACCAGGCTAATTTGGATATTGGTAAAATGGTTGCTGATAAAAGAATCTAACTAATTAGATGTAATTATAAAAATTACGATGGGACTCTGGGCTATTAGCCATAAGCACCATAAAGGTTGAATATAAGGATGAGTGGGGCTATGAATTAGCAATTATAGTCCACACCCTCTATTTGATAGATAATTAGAATCAATGTTGTCGGCTAATTTGGACATTGGTAAAATGGTTGCTGATAAAAGAACCTAACTAATTAGATATAAATATAAAAATTATGATGACACTCTGGGCTATTAACCATAGTCGAGGTTGCATTTGAGAAAGAGTGGGGTTATAAATTAGGAACCATAGTCCCTACCCTCTATTCGGAAGATATTAGAATAGATGTTGATCATCGTAAATACTTGGGAGTAGTTGCCAAGAAGATTCAAGTTATCCATCGATAAGGCCCATTGACTGGGGCAAGTCATGATGACTACTCAGTTAATGATAATAAGGAGTAGTGGGATCAAGAGGAAATTAGTGGGGGTGTGTACAGTGACCTCATGTTGGTTCAAGTGATAACTGGATACTTGAGGACCATTAAAAATTTAATGCTATTGGGACCATCCAAGCAACTGCATAAGGATGTTTTGGATTGGATGTAGAGGATGTAATGAGTGGGTTCTTTTTTTGATCTTTATTATATTTGTTTATGCACAACAATTTTGTTTTGCAATAATGGCACGAAAATTTGGTTATATTGATTATAAGACTCATGGTGATGGTGGGTCTTGTTAAATTATTTTGAAGCATTATATATCAATATTATCTATTGTTATTTATATGTATTTACTGTATAAAAAGGGTAAAAATTGCCAAAAATTATAATAGTTTTTATTTGTGTCCTAGAAAACTAAAATTTAGTCTCAGAAAATAAATCTTTATCTTAGAAAGTTGTAGAATAGTTACTAAAGAAAAGTATTAAAAAAGTATAAGGTAAAAATAATTAATGTCTTCAATATTAATATAATCGGCACAATAAATTGAAAAAGGAGAGATATAGTGATTAGCTACCAAACACGGGGATTGACAGACAAGAATAATAAATCCATATCATATGGTTTTGGAGGTAGAGGAAAGTTCGAGAATGATTGAAGGGGATTATGGAATGGGATGTTTATGATTGTATTATTATGTTATCGGATTAATTATGATTAATATAATTTGTATAAATGGTTTATTTGATTGCAATAAAGAATTACAAGGGTTTTAAATTTAATAGTTGAACACTATTTAAAGTATTACGAATTTATATATTTTATAAATATAAGTAATTTTTTATTCACTTAAAACTATTTTAAACATGGCTAATATATTTTCTTAAAATATGGTATTTATTAAATTAAATTTAAAAAAAAATTTATTCATAAAGTTTTGCGAATTTGAACGTGTTCGATTTTTTATAAATGTTTACAGCACTAGTACCGAGTAATGTGTTTCTTTTTTTTGAGTAATGGTAACACAAAACGTTACTCGTTATTTTAAATATTTTCTTAAAAAATAATTTAAGCCGATTTAATTCAGATCTACCATCACGTTTTTCATTTTTATTGTTGAATTTTAAAAAAGATTGTTAATCTAATTAATAATGAATCATCAAGGTATGTTAATTTATATTCTCCGATATTAAAATTTATTTTATAAAAATATATGTCAATAGTACTTATTTCTTCAGATTAAGATGATTCTCTGGCCCCAGTATGAAACTATTTTACAATAAAGGAAATTAAGGACACTAAGTTTACACAATGTAAGTGTAGATTGTGCCCTAATACAAATATTTCAACCTCGATATCCTGCAGCTCTAATCTAAAAAGATATATGAAGGTAAAAATGTGTATTCAAATTAAATTTTGACAAATATTTTAAAAAATTGATGGGGATCTTAATGAAGGTTCTTGTGACCTCTATATTATATTCTCTTTTCATGGGAATAAAATAAATCTTCTTAAAATACATATTTAGTGTTTTTTTAAAAAACGAGTTATTTATTGAATAGCAAGTAACGTTTTTTTGCAAGGCAAAGAGTAAAATTAACGCGTTCCTTTTTTCACAAGGTAGCGAATAAATGTAACGAATTTCTTTTTAAGGTAATGATTACTTTATCAGCTTATAGTAACTTATGTCTATGTATTTCAAATGATATTTAGGTTAAAAAATATATTTAATTACTTCTAAATTACTCAAGGCTCTGTCCTGGTTTCTCATCATCTCTTGAAGCATGGATGGATTCCTTGCTAATTCCATTGTCTATAGATATAAAATTTAATATTAATCAAGATACCCAAAAATGATCATTAATTACCATAATATAAAACTTTGACCTATAAATTTTGAAATTGATAAGAAATAAGGTTTTTTCTAATTTTTTTCAATTTTGTTGGAATCAATATCAGCTAATAAAAATGGTTGGCCCAAATATTGAAGTAATGCTAAAATTAATAAAGCACCCAAGTTGTAAAAATGTTCTTCTAAATTATATTTATAAACAAATTTTCTTATTTGGGATTAGATAGATTTTTACTATGATTAAGAAATAAAAATTCAAGTACTTATATAAATTTTAAATTTTCGTGACATATACAAGTTTTAAAAATTTAGCTTTTGTTTTATATACTTTTAAAAACAAATATTTAAAAAAAATAAAATAATATTTTGTATTGAGGTTACTTCTCTCATTAATTCAGGGTTGTTTAACATGTGAGTCAGTTCAGGATTCCTCTGTATTATGATTGATATTCAAAATAAATTGGTGATTAAAGAAAATCATGCTGTAAAATTATTTAAATATTTCCTTCCTTTAGATCTTTTTTTATAAATAGATATCCTTCCTTCCATAATATATTTGATATAAATAATATACTTCCATAAGGGTTTGCATTTGTGGGTTAGAAGATATAAGTTCTCGCATGATATCAGTGTTACCAATCAGATTTTGAACCATGGGATTGTTTAAAATCTGTTGCATCATGCCAGGGTTACTAAGCATCTGAATTATTGTATAGAATATTTTATTTTATACTTTCCTTATATATATAATTTTTATTTATCTCTTAACCCTCTATTGCGTACATCATATTAGAATACACATACCATAAAAAAAGGTATAAATTTTAATATAAAATTTTTTATAGTTTAATACACATGATGTATAATAGATACACATATATTTTATTTATTTCCATAGTAAATTTTGTCAAAAATGAAAGACAGCTATCATTATAAAAATTCTAAAATACGCAGTTTACAACTTTCAATTAGTTGCATTTTTTCCATTTTATAAATTATGTCATTTCTTTGGTACAAATTTTTAAGAAACAGGAAGTTGAAAATAAATAAAGGTAAAAGAAATGTTTTATATATAAATAGATTCTTATATTCATTAATAGTGTTTAAAATTTAAATTTTAAGGTACTGTACCCAGATACATAATGTGCACAAATGCACTATGAATTTGGGCTTTTTTGATTATTTTTTTTATTAATAAATGTTCTTTATTTGCTATCTATAGTCAAAATGTACTGTATTCCAGAAAATAGTTCTGATTCTAATCTTAGTGGCTTATCAGATGAGAAAATTCTTGATTCAAGATCAGGTAATGTTGATTCTAGCAGAAATGCGGTATTCCAACTATTGGTACCGCTACATTCCAATTTTAAATTGTGTTTTGATAATAGGTTCTGTGGTATAGAACTTCAAGTATTACTAGCCCAAAAGGGAGTATTGCTACAGCGAGAGCTAATAGAATTTATAATTGCCAGCAGAGTTGGGTAGTACCGTGAATATTGTATCTAAGATACAAGATCCTTTTGTAACTTGTACTCAGTATCTTATTGACATTTTTAATAAGATACTAGTATCTGTATCTAAGATCCTTTATTTTGAAAAGAATCTTGTATCTTTTTCATTTTCTTTAAAAAGATACAGATTCTTTTTAATATTCATGTTTAAAACATTTATATATCACACAATCTAACTTTATTTTCTTCATGAAATCTTGTATCTTTTTCATTTTCTTTATTTTTTCCTGCTATATTTTAAATATATTGATAACCAAAATTAGTTGGAAATTTTACAGATCACAAAGATAGATAGATTAAAAATAACAACACCATAACTAAATAAGTAAAGGTTATATTTTATATATAATATTTTTTAATTTGTAGAATGTTTAACATTTTTAGTAGTGAAGATGAAATTATGGAGATAGGTTCTCATGAATCAAATCCGAATCAATTCTAGATGGAAAATTTTATAAAGTAATTCATGTGAAAAAGGACAAGGTACAAGCCGAATGTCAAAATTGCACAAGTAAAAAAGTTATTAAAGGTTGAACAAACTCCTCTACAAACTTTGTTAAACATATTAATGTATATTATACATTTTTATTTTATAATTATTAACATAATAATACCTATACTTAAGTCCCTCTTAGATAATTGTTATTAAAATTTTTTATAGAAGATGGTTGATTATCAAATAAAAATCATTTTGGATATATAATTTTTAGAGGTGTACCGATACCACTTTTTTAGAGGTCAATCCAATCTAATATTCAATTCATATTGGCCAATTACCGATCCGATATCATATCTAATTTTGTATTCTGTAAAGATAACAATGGTTTTAATTTTTAATATACTTTTTATTAGTATAACATCTATAATTTAACTACCATAACTTATGTCATTTAAATATATTATAATGAAGTTATAGTTTATATTCAATTCAAATGCAATTCTAAAAGTATAAAATATTTTTATTGTTAACCCTTTAGGTTCCCTCATAAAATTAATATGTTGCAACACGATATTTAGTAATTTTTTTATTGATTCTAGTATAATATAATATAAAACACACGAAAAAAGTTTTTTAAATTCAAAATGGCGGCTCTCCCTGGTGGTTTTAAATTCATATCATTGACACCTTATGGAAACTTTCGAAACAGTTTCTATTTTTATTTAGACATAGTGGTACGTTGCATGATTTGCACGACCACCTTGTTCTTCTGGGATTTAATTTTGTACTACAGAAGGTACACCTTCGTGAGGTTCCTGCCTGAGGTGAGCTGAATTTTTTAGTCTAATTTCTGGAAGGATATATGGTTTATTATTTTTTCTTTGCATTGATATATAATTATTATCATTATGAATATTATCATTCCTATTAACATTTTTACAGTATGCCAATTCGCTAGCAATTATTTGTCTTCGGAATTCTTTCGATGAGAGTTTATTATCTGTAAGAATATTGTATATTATGAATGAATTGATAATCGCCGCATCTATCAGCCAAAAGAATATTGGTAGCCACCATTTTCGCCACTTTCGCGAAATTTCATATAAAGACTTTAAATGGTCGAAATGGTCAACAGACCCCATATATTTATTATACATCTTTATCATTATTGGACATTTTACGTCAAATACTTCCCCTTTTTTATTTTTTCTCTTCACAGTATCCACTGATCTCGGATCAATATAATTGGACATTATAAATACGTCACGATTATCTCGCCATTTAATTATACTTATATTATTTTTGTCACTTCTCCAGTCAAACTCACCTCATTTTAATTTTGTTTCCATATTCTTTATGGGCAAGTATCTCCTATTTTTGTTTAGTGTTCCGGTAGCATATATACCTTTCTTTTTTAAATCGATCAATTTCAATTTGATAAGGTGTATACGATTCATAATCATCACTATCAATTTGGTAACGTGTATCCGATTCATAATCATCTTCGGAATCAGTGGATGAGTTGTCTAACGAAGAACCTTCAGATGGAATGTCCAGATAATCATCCATATATATAACAAGCTAAAATTATTGCGAAATGAGTTGGCAAAATTTATCAATTATTAAAAAAATAAATATTAAAAATATTGTTGTTAAGTGGCAGTGGTTAGTTTAATATACCACATTAAAAAGATCAAAATAATATATAAATATTATTTATTTGAGCAAAAATAAATATTAGAAAGATAGATAAAATAGTGAGGAATATATATATTTAAAAATATTTGATAAATATATTTACTTATAATTAAAATTGGAATTTTAAGAAAAATCACCGTAAAAAACGTATTTTGAAATAAAGGCGCGAAAAAAAAAATTAAAAAATAACTCCTCCACAAACATATGAAAAAGAATATCTTTTAATATATATTCGTGGTGGTTTCATTTTATATGATCAACTCCTTTAGAAGATAAAAAGGTTAAAAGGTGGTTTTATATTTGCACTACCGCGACCGAAAGGGTTAAATCACTTTTATATAACAAGTAATAACATTAATCTATATACATATTAATTAATAAACAATTATATTATGAAATTTGAAATAAATATTTAAAATAATATTTAACATTAATATAGCGAAGATTTCTTTTTAGAAATACCAATATTTCCAATTTATTGGAGGTCAGCTTGCGGCGATAGTAACTATCAATATCACCAGCTTCACTAAAAACAGATTTTGAAGAGATTATCGCACACTTTTATAAACAGAATGCGCAAAAAAAATAACAATATGGTAAAATGTTTATTAATTAAATATTATTATTAAAAAAATATACATAAAACTGGATTTCGATTTTATTTATAAAAATAAATGATTTTAGATATAACTATTTTTTTTAATTTTATAACATTTTATTTTTGTTAAAGAAGCCATTTTTATATCGGATCAAATTTTATAATATTGAAAATGGGTGAAATATTGACCCGATCCGATTCGATAAAAAATATCAGATCCCTAATATATTTTATATTTAATTATTTTAGCAAGTTCTTGTTAGAGGAAATATTTAAGCTACAATTGATATATAATATTAGATCTTAATAAAATAATTATAATAAGGTAGAATTTAACTTTATTAGTTACTTTTATTTATTTATGATATAAGTAAAATTATATTACATTATTAATCTACAAAATTTAATCAATTTAAAATGCATTAAAGAAAATTGTTATGTATTTAATAATTAAATAATATAATGTACATTATTTTTATATTTTTTATATATAATTAATGATTTTGCAAGAAATATATTAAAAAAATTTGAAGAGATTTAAATGATATTTATATATATATGATATTACAAATTCAAGAATTAATAAGTCATACAAGAAAATAAAACTAATTTAAAAAATATATAAATATCACAAACAAGTAATGATAAATACTTATTAAAGATAATGAATAAAATAAAACTAGTATTATTTTTTTTTAGAGATGCCATTTAGCCATATACTCCGAATATAAGCTATATTTAAAACAACACAGAAAATAACCTGCAAATTCTAATAAATCATTTGATTTAATTTTTTTTCTTATTTGCACATTTTCAACTCCCATTAAATATACTACTCTCCCTTCCCTGTTTAAACTATTAATGGACAAAAATTATAATTAAAATCCCTGGTTATTATAATTAATTCATCAATAAATAATTTATTAATTATTGCAAATATTCATTATTATATGTGTAATACTAAGTTCTTCACAAATAAATAATAAAAATTGTATTTTATAAAAGTATCTTGTATTTAAGATACTCTAATTTAGTAAAAGATACAAGTATCTTTTTGATATTTTGAACAAAATACTAGTATCTGTATCTATGATTTATTTTTTATAAAGAATCTATCTGTATCTAGATTCTTTTTCTGGAGGACCTGCCCAACTCTGATTGCCAGTTTCCAACTGAAAAAGAATTCTTAAAGATGGAGCAAGGATTCACATAAGATCATGTAAATGGTATCACCGTATAGTATTCCATATACTTGATATGATGCTCAATCTTGGTTAATGTATAGGCGAGATTTTGTAGCTTTAAAGGTACCGTTAAAAAAACAGATGCCATTTCAATAGCAGATACTCTGTAAATGTAACAAAATTATGAACACTAGCATAAAAAAACGAATATAAATTGACACCAAATATAAAAAAAATCTAGCAAGTGACCGATAAATCTTATTACGCAGA